GAGATATCTACAGTAATTCAGCTCAGTCAGAGAGGATCCCCTTTTAAACTAGGTTTGAGTTTCTAGGTGGGTTTCATTTTTACTTTTTCCTGTGTGCTGAAGTTGACTAGTTTCAAGTGAGGAGTCTTTCCCTGCTGGGACCTGGATTGTCAAAAGCCATCACAGAACTTGCAAAATTCTGTCATTACACCAGAAGCCTTAACTCTGCTCCAGAATCATTCAGAGAAAATTGCCAATATTTGACAACAGAAGTTTTCTCAACAAAGACATTCTGACAAACTGAAACACCATTCCCTGAACACATGGACACCCATATGGGGGACAGTACTAACACAAACAGTAAACTACTGGCAGGAGTGAATTTATCATCAGCAAGAAGACACAAGTGTCTTCACACTATAACGTTGGACTAGGCTATTCGTAACTCTTAAGGTCTATCAAAAAAGTAAATTCCCATGTTGTAAGGTTTATTTGATTTCCTATGAACCAAATAAAAACTATAAATTTCCTTGAATTCACAGTGAGGAAGAAGGAAGCCAGGACTCTTGATCTCAAAGCTGTGCACTTCCTTAATAAAATCCCAGCACATCTGTGCTGTGAATGTAAATAAGTGCTGGCACCCAGGGTGAGGTGCAGAGGTTCTCCTAGCAGAGCAGGAAGAAGTTTTCTCTGCAGCGATCTTCCTGCTCTGTGGTGAGAGTTCATCTCTAGTGTCAATGCAGCAGCCCTGCTAGTCTGCAAGCACACTTCCCAGGCAATTTAAATATACCTAGGGAGGTTCCTAGAAGATTTCACATACTTCACTTCTCTTTTGAGCAGGAAATCTTGGACAAAAGATTTTTTTTGTCCCTCTTTGTTTCTAAGTTCACTTATACCTTTTTCAGCCTCCATTAAAACATGCTGCTGTCTACTCTTTTCCCTCTTTGTCTACTCCTTCTACTCTCTGTTCTCTTGTTTTTAGTTAAAACCCCTCACATATCACAGCCTGCTGGTGACTAGCCAGGTATCCAGATGGTACTTATGTACCACATTGGTAGGTGCCTTAGAAATAGCAGGCAGAGAAGGAAAAAATATCACTGGGAGGCTTCAGATGCTCTTTTTGATAAATGGCAATTGTAGACCTAATTAGTTGGTTCCCTCTTTTGGAGAAGCTGGGTAAGTAACAATGGTTGCAGTCCCAAGGAGAAAACAGGCAAGGACACATCTCTCGCTGCCAGGTTTTAGCTTTCCACTCAGAACAGTGTCAGGCAGATGGCTTGTCAATCTATTCTTCTTTGAAAGGCACCAGGTTTTGTCTGGGTTTGAAGATTTTTCTCAGTGCCCATCATCATACTGCCTTAGCACCACTACGCTGTGTCAACTACTTTTGCACAGATAACTGGTTTATAGAATAAAGAACAAACAACACTCACCTTAATTATGTGAGTATCCCTCCAGCAATAATCAGCTAATTGCCTCAGTAAGGCCAGAAGGATTTGGCTTTAAATCAACTACCAAAATTATTTAAGCATAAGTGCATGAATTCCTTTACAACTCCAAGGCCCACTCATTAAACATTATTTACATCTCAGAAATGCTGTTGCTTTTCTCTCTTGCATTTGACAAGGGGAAAAGTAGAAAGGATGAGGTGTCAGGAGCACCTGTGTGAGTAGGGGGCTGAACCCACCCCAAATTCAATGGTAGGGAAAATGTGTCTCCTTTCCCTTTGCTGAAACACCTCAAGAAGTCTGCCCATGGGAACTCCAAGCTGCATCATGCCTGGGGGTCCCACCAGCCTGTGCATGTCCTTCTGGGGATGGCACAGAACTGCAGAGGAATCTGCCAAGAAAGGGACCATTGCCCAAACCTGCTGCATCTGCATGTTTGACTTATACCTTAAAGTATGAGATAACATCCTTTAAACTATTTAGCTTGCTCAGTAAAACTGATACATGCTCTATTTACCTATAGAAATTTCTAGGACTTTTTTTTCACTCATATTAAGTAATCAATGTGTTTAATGTGGCAAATGCTTTAGCATGATACGGAAGTACCAGCAGCTTCATTTTAACAATTGGCTCTAGAGGGGGCAGGGGGCAAAAATCCTCAGAGTTAGCTGGTGTGCTGCACTGGATGCTGCCCATACAAAGGTACTTGGATAAGGCACTGATACGAAAGGCTTGAAATCCCACCTCCACCAAGGGATATGTGGCACAGAACTGCTGTCAAGGCCATGACCTTCAATCAATCTTTCAGACAGCTGCGTCTTTTTAAATAGTGTTTTGCAGTGTTTCAACCGTTTCTAAACGCGCAGGTCTTGGGAAGAACCCCAGTCTAGATCTGTCCCATAAGTAGAGGCAAGCTATTTCTGCTTGCCATGTATCTCAGTGCAGGAGAGACTTTCTGTGACCCACAGCAGGAGCAACAGGTGACATGAAGGTGCACTTTGAGCCTCTAGGGTCTTCAATTAAAAACCCAACATGCTTATGGAGTTGTGGGACTCTTAAGGGCTAGGGAGGAGTTAAGGTGGTCAAGGAACAGTGTTTGGTACCTACAGTCTGCCTTGGTTCTGCTGAAGTGTTTAAGCCTGTTACTGGAGCTAAAGCTTTTTCATAAGCAGTCCCAGTTCATCGCCTCCCATCTTACAAAAAATCTCTACATGTCTCTAATGCTTTTCACTGTCAATCTCAGCACTCTTTTTATATCCATTAAAGACTTTATGAAATAGGATGACCAGAAATGAAAAAAGATTCTGAGGATAGAGCATGCAATTGATTTATGTTAATGGCATTGTAATAATATTTTCAGTGTTTGATTTATTTTTTATTCTGTACACAGCTGAAATGCTGATTACTTCTCTATTCCTCTCTCATTTATAAAACAGCCACTTACATTGGGCTCCACAAATTTATTCTCGGGTCTGTCTCCAAAGCAGTTAAAATATAATTAATTTAAAATCCACTAACACACAAGAAGTTGAGGTGATTCTTTTCAGTCAATCTTACTAGAATTTATCAGTGAGCTTCACTAGCTGTCATGCTTCTCATACATTTGTCTTTGTAAAGTTCCTCTGACTTCACTGGCTTTGACACATTTAACAACTGCTAATACTAAAAGAAACTCCCACCCTGTAATTTCTATTGAAAGACACTGCAAGCCTTAGCACCCCCCCATTTGTACACAAATAAATATCACAGTCACCTGCAACACCGTCCTTAATGACTTTTGCATTTATTTGTACTGATAACTTTTATCCCTTGTACACATCAGAGACATAAAAAAGCTAAGTGTGCCAAGATGTGTTAGTTTATAAAGGCAATCAGAGAATAAATATTACTGCTTAATTTTGCCTTCATAATATATTCTGACTTGAAAACTATATTAGGTGTCAAATCACCTTACCCTAAAGGGATTAGAATATGAAAAGTGATGAAGGGAAAAAAAAATGGCTATTTTTATGGAGGAGTTTGATAATAGAAGAGATTATAGAGCATGGTGCTGAGCACAAAAAACATTTATAGTCCTGTTTGTCAACTGAAAATGAACAAACTGTTTTGAACTAAGAACAGCCTGATTATTGTCTCCAAGTTGATACAAAATCAAATACAGGTATCTCATCAGAGGTATGACAAAGCAACTTACTCTTCTGTTCATTACAAGGTGGCTGTGCACTGCCTTATTTTGGCTAGAGGGAGACAGAAATACAATATCACAAATTTTGGGATCTGCTGAAAGGTGGAAACACCAACAATAACAACACTTTGTCTTCAAAGACTTGCTAAAATTAAGGGCTAGATTTTCAAAGCAGCTTGGCATCAAGAGCACCTTTAGACTTCTCTGGCAAATGGAGAACTGAGAACATGAAATAAAATGTCTTTCATTTTCAGCCAACCCCTATAAACAGCTAGCCGTCATCACACCTTTCCTACAGGTTAGAAAACAGGCATGATGCAGACAAGTGATTTTATGCGAAGGAATTTGAAGATTGCAAATGGTCACATAAACCTGTTTTGTAGCAGTGTAACCTAGTATCAAAAGTCTCTATCTTTTGTGATTAAAGCCTGGCATTTCAAGCAGACTCACAAGAGCAAGTCCCCAGCATGAGATCCAAATGTGTATCTGTATATTTGGCTCATGAGACAGCACAGCTAGTATACAACAATATTCATAGACCTTCATGAATGATACATAACACAAAGTAGTTACTGAATTAGTAAGCATAATTTTATCTAATTGGCATATTTTTATTATTTATGTGTGTTATGGTAGCCAATTAAACCTCCAGTTGTGCCAGGTTGAAGACAAGCATATAGCCATAAAGATCAATTAAATGCATTTAGACATTGCGCATGAGTGCATTGGACAACCCCACGGAGACTGCCCAAGCTATGAGAGGAGAAGCAGCACCCGAGTTCTCCCATCCCTATGAATGCAGCAGTGGACTTTGGAGGGGTACTGAGGAGAGCCCTGCACAGAGGGCAACCTACCGGGAAAATGAGCTTGACAGGTCTGAAGTCCATAAGCATCACACCATATCAGGACATCTGGCCAGTGCCCAGTCAGGACTGAGCTCCTTGCTGCAGCCAGAGCCTTCCCACAGGCACTTCTCGCTCTGCTTATTGTCCCTCCTGAGCAAGACTGCAAATCAACTGCAGTCTGACAGGTCTACCTTTCACAGAAGAAATTGAATCCCAAACATATATACATCTGCTATGTTAGTTTTGTACCTAGATACGTACGTATTTTTGCAATGTCTCAGAGGGACAGGGCAACAATTAGCTGGACATGTTTGAGATACCACTGCACTATCCTGCTGGCCTTTCCATTTTCCTTATACGCAAAGATACCTACTCTACCAAACCAGTAATGTGCAGCAAGAGAAAACATTCCAGCTCCAGGTAACATAGTGTATACTGTTACAAAAGCAGTAATCTTTGGCCACCTTTGCTCTTGCAGGCTGTTGGCCATCCTGCAGAGTCAAGTGCATTGGGTATAGCCCAGGAGCGGTGCTGAGAAATGAGCAGGCATTATGCCTTGTACAGGGAAGCCTGCACAGACCTGGGCAACTAAACACACACACACACACATTCCCTCTGGCTGCTTCACATTCCTGGAGGGGTTATTCTTATTTCTAAACTATTTGGTGTAAGCAGCAAAGAGGGATGAAAGACTGGGACAGCAGCAGCTGCAAATGAATTGCCCTATCACAGGTACTGAATGATAACTTTGCAGCCGTCTGAGGCAGACTGAGCAATCACTAGTATCCTGGAGTGGAGAGAGGTAGAGCAGTAGTGGCCTGGCCAGGAAAGTAAAAGCTGGAAGAGTAATTGGTGACCATACTCTTTTCTAGCTCTTTCTCTCTGACTGCATTTTTTCAGGGGAGTGGATATGGTGGGGATAGGGATGTATATTTATAGCATCACAGGAACCAGACCATCAGCTCTTCTTTCAAAGAACTTGTTGCCTGCCATTAAATAGTGCTAGTATCATAAATCCAGAAGAACAACATTTTCATTCATAAGATTTCTTAGTATATACAGACACAAATCTTCCCTTTCTGAAGCAGTATCTGCATTTCAGATTCTCAGGCATACATTTCCTGGGATAGGGGGGCTTTTTTTCTATTCCTTCTTATGTGTTATCTTATATTTCTGGCTTTCATATGCACATGACTAGGAAACATTCACTTATCCAGATTTCCTTTTGCTCTCTAACTCATCTTTTTCATCTATAACTTATTTTATTTCCAGACATGAAAAAGCAGATACAAATTATATCTGACAGCATCTCCCCAGCTCCTGAGATTTCAGATGTGTCTTGCTCTGTGGTACCTCTTTTGCCAAATCTGTGTGAATAGAACAGAACATATGTCACAAAAGCAGCATTTTATCATAAATTAACCCTGATTTCTTCATTCAAATTCTAGTGATATCATCCAATTACTTCACTTTCGGCTAATTTCTGATTGTCTTTACTATCCATCCTCACAATTGAAGAATCAAACAAACAGGCTATTATGTGCAAAAAGTAGTTTTTAACATAAGACGGCAAAACATAAAAACAAATGCTGAAACCAATAAATTTCAGCAAATGCAAAGCTACAGCTGTCATCTGTATCATCAAGAGTAGCAACAGCATTACAGCTAAAAATGAAAATTCTCAAATTCAATCAATCTTACAAGATTGTACAGTACTTACTGTACCAACCCATAGCAAGAGCCGATCCCTCTTGGGGTCAATGTTTCAGCTGAAAAGGTGTGGGAAGAAGGATGACATTTTCTTATTTGAAAGCAGATGAGCAGAGGCACAGAAGAATGACCTGTATTGTCCAAAACCACACAGGCAGCCTAAAACTAAGTTAAGTCAGTCTCGCAAATCCCCGCACAATGACTAAACCCCAAATAATGTTTCCTACTCCCACATTCATAGAATTGCACCCATTTTTGCCTTATCCCCTCAGGTCAGTGCACCTGTGGGGGCTGCCTCCTCAGAAAGACAAATGCTCTGTCTAGACACAGTCCTGTCTTCAAAGCCAGCCAGCAACATTCTTCCTGAGAAAATACAAGAAATTCCTTAATTGGTAAATGCAGGATAATCTGTGCCAATGAAGGTCTTATACTGACAGAGATTAACTTTAAGCCTTGAAACATGATTCTTTTTATGGCTGCTCCAAAATTTAATTTATTTGTGCTAAATATTATTAAATGAAGCATTCACATTACCCATCGACACATCCACTCCATCTCAGGAATCACACTCCCTCACCCAACTCTTCGGTTACCTATTTAATTAGCACATTTTTTTGTGATGGACATTTGAGGATTATGAGAGCCACAGGCTTTTCAGTTGATGAGTACTACCAGGTTAATGAAGGAGGAGAATAGAGAGGAGCACAGCGTATTTTTAACTCAGTCCCAGTATTCACAAGTGAGATTTTAGATCAAGGTAAATAATGCTGAAATGCTGCCAGACTTCTTTCTCTGGATTTCTGAATGGTTTCCCTTCGCTGTTGCCATGCCAAGTTTCAAATTTGCTTTGTGCCAAACTTCATACAAACAAATTTGCAGAGAATTCATTTCAAAGTCTGACTTACACTAATATGTCTGAGCATTAGTGCTATGTCTGCTCTTTCTGTGATCGCTTAAATGAGGAACAATAAAGCCAGATTTATTTTTATCTCATCACAGCTAAGCCCTAGATTTTGCGTAAACAGATACCAAATGCACCTAAAACTCTTAAATATCTTTTTTTCAAGCGCACAAAGCAAACGTAGGAGGGAAGGGAAACTTCATTGTCTCTTTACAGGAACACTTTAAACTCCCTGTTCAAGGTTTGTTTTCCTATTACAGCTCCCAGAAACTCACATAATGCTCCAGCTGAGATCAGCAGAATCAGGCTGCTGAAGGAAATCTGTGACAAGAAACCCATGTGGAAAACCCATTATTTTTATATGTATATTTCCAAAGTTATTTTCAAATATAAATAAATTATAATATCATATTGGAACTAAAGCATTTCTTTTCCCTTGAGTATCCAAAGATATTAAGATGCCCAAAGCACTTCTAGTGCTGAGAACTGGAAGAAGACATGTGCAAAGGGCCACAAGCAGCAGGAGCAGCTCCTTGGCTTCAGATCAGGTCATCCTGCTTCCCACCAGGGCCATCACCTCCTGGGGAGAGGTGAAGACTGGCCAGAAAGCTGCAGCTAATTAGAGGTAATTAACATGGTTAGAAATCCATCCCGGCAGCTATTAGAGAGACACTCAAGGAAAAGGCAGGAGAAGATGAATCCAGACTGTTTTTCACTTTGGGTGGCTACTCGGCAAAAAATGTCAGTGGGAGAGTCGCCTCCCCTTCCTCTCTCATGTGCTGAGGAAAAATATCGGTGCAAGTTATCCGCCATCTGCACGCACCACCTACCTGTCTCTACCACTCCCTCTCTAGCTACCTTCAAATATCACAGATCATCCTTTGCCCTCTCTGCTCCCTCCCCATGGTCTCATTAGAAGGAGTCTTCCTTCACCCGAAGCCCACACTGCTATGGCACTCACTAGACAAGAGAGAAGGGTGAATATGCTTTGGTTTAGGTACCTCATTAGAGGCATACCTTGAAGGGACCAGATGTAAATTAAAAATGGCCTTTGACACTGTCTGCTTCTGATGAACTAATGAAAAGGGTTATAAGGCACGGCCCAAGCCAGGATTGTTGTGTTTCAGGGCCATCCTCTCCAATGGAAAGCAAGCACTGCTCCTGGCCAGGTTTCACAGGCTTCAGAAAGTGCACTGCTTCCCAAGCCTCCCCTTTCCCACTCCCCACCATAAAACAAAGCTCTGTGTCATTTACCCAAATGGCAGCTGCAGCTCATTTGGAGGTAGCCCAATTTTTCAGATTTGCACTTGCATTCATGGACATTTAGCCTTTTTATAAACACATAATGAGTCCGGTTCAACTGGGGATAAGCCAGGGCTGCTTCTTGTAGCAAAGCTCCCATTGCAATGAATTCATGCATGGCCTGAAAGCATGCAGCCTGGGCAGAGGGGATCCAAAAACAGTAACTCAGTTTTTACTACCCAACAAGATACACAGAACTCCCAGAAAGTTGCTTTTTTTTGTTGTTTGCAACAAAAAAGACAGTACAGTCCTTTTTCTCCCAGACAGCAACCTGACCCTGCCCCTTCAAGCCCCTGCTATGCAGCCCTTTAAAAACAACAAACCATCCAAGCAAATACTCAGAAAAGCCCCAGGCAGCCTTTTCCAGCTTTTCCTTCACTGTTGGGCATCCAGGCAGGACAATCCTGTTGCCAGTTATGGCTGGCTGAACTTTCCCCTACCACAGAGCCAGGATCCACATCATTGAGCTGGCCCATTTGTGATGTAGCCCAGGTGAGAAGCAATAAGTGCACTATACTAATCACTTCCACACTAACTAGCTCTATGTGATTTTGCCATAGGAACTCCTCTGCAGTCCAGCAGATAATGACTTTTGGGTAATGCAAGCCATACACCTCCTGCTGGGCACTCACTGGTCAACATTCTGACAGAACCAGCGCAGTCTTCTGCCAGCTGTTACTTTGCCTCACTCAGCTGTAATTCACTTTTGCATGCATTTTCCTGCACTGTCCTGTCATAAAGAGACACAGGTAAAGAGCATTATCACCTAGGTAAAATTATCCTTCTCTGCTTCAGTCCCATTTTCCCTCATTACATCTTTCCCTTGACCACAGTGAACAGCTGATCTTTTGCAGCACCTGCTCTGTAAAGTTGTGTAGACATTTACAGTGCCACTCAAGATAAGTTAAGGCTTTTAATCTTTCAGAACAATTTGCCTCACCAGCTGTTAGCTATCAGAGTCTGCTCCAGCTGACTAAGACCCTCCGGTATCTGTGTCTAAAATGCATAGTGCACTTAAAACCTGTTCAGTTCTCATTAGTTCTCTCTAGGTAGCAGTGGACTATGCAAATATTTGCAGCCCCTCACCCAAAACCGTGCTGTAGAGGACTTTATCTGAAGTTGCAGGGAGGGTGTAAAACCACAAGAGCACAAGAAGCCCACAGGGGAAGCAAGCCTAAGAATAAACCAAAAAAAAGAGAAAAACAACCAACCCAACCAACCCCAACCTCCCCATGCCTCATCCCCCCATCCCCACATAAAAGGGAAAAAAAAAAAAAAAAAAAAAAAAGAGAGAAAAAGAGAAAACCAAACCAACAAAACCCACAGCCATCTTCTGGGCAGTGCTGTGGCAGCGCACTGCCGCATGCTGATACAGACGTTAGGTCTGGGCAGTTAAATCCTTTCTCCCTCCTTTGGGCAGGAAACCTTTCATGGTCAGACACCAACATGGGATTTTAGGCTGTCCACCTAATAATAGTTATGAATACAGAATAACCAGAAAATGGAGGGTTGAGAGCATGAAAACATCACTTCAGAATTCAGTGGGAGAAAAAGTATAAACCACTCATTTTCAAGTACATGACCAGTCTCAATACAAAGTACATTTAAAGCAAAATTTTCTGGACTAGGGCAGAGAAAAGTCAGTTAATCCTTTTACTTGGAGCACATAGTTATTTCCTAGGATGTATTTTTCCTTGTTCCGTGCAAGTCCTTGTATCATGGGGGTCTTAATCTTCAGCACAATTAAGGATCTTTGGATTTTCATTTTCACAGTTACTTTGATCTCATCTTGCTGGGGGAAAAGCAGTTGCTAGCCTCACTTGTCCACAGTATTAGTTTTTCCGTTGTCTTTACAGAAGCTATCAATCTACTGACTGGCTTTTGTCATGATTTAAAAACCTCATCCCAGTAAGGTTGTTATCTTTCAGCCATATTTCACAGATATCATGAAACTGGTTTATACTGACATCTTACTTAGCATCCGGCTAACAAGACAATTGCAGGGAGATATTGCCAGAGATATAAGGCCATTATAAAATAAAGAAAGAGCTTTAAAGCTTAACAGGTTGTTTTCTGTAGAAGGGATCATAATGAAGCTCCTGTGCACAAAATAGCCATTTGCTATACAAAGACTGAAGCGGAAAAAGTGCCCCTTAATGTATAAAATAAATCCTAGAGAGTGGCTGAACAACAGCTCAATTCTAAGCTGAAGTTTTTCATGGCTTCTTGAATTATCTAATTTGCCAGAAGTGAGTGACTGCTTCTGGGAGTGTAAGGGTGCTAATATTGCATTCTGGAGTGATTAAGGTTTATCATTTAAATCTTTATAAGAGTGTTTTTAAAATGCATATTACTTTACTTTCTTGATAAACTATGATAGCTCCTTAGGAGCCATTAATACAAATTAGGGTGCACACCATACATAGTAGAAAGCCTCATGAAAAGTAGTTCTTCCACATGCAGGGTAATCAGCTTTTAAATTATATTAACTACTGCAGCTGTGATGTTTTCCCCCAAGTTTCAGGGATCAGATCACTTTTATAAAAATATTTTCTTACTGAATTTTGTTTCCTCAGATAAAAGCTCAGTTTTATGTTGTGCAAGCAGGAGGTGAAAAGCTGGGGACTGGCAAACTGCAGGCAGGGGAAGACAAAAGCCTTTCATTTGTACCAGTTAAAAATCCCCAGATACCTTTCAGAAATAATTTCTATAATCTAAAAAATACATTGCTATGCACATGCAGAGCAAAGTTTCTTGCTTGTTGCTCTTACCTCCAGGTCCTTATTTTCAGTGTCTTTTTTAACATACTGCAGCTACCTTTACCCTGCACAGCAAGCTCACTGGGGCAAATTTGTTTTCTATAAGCACAGTGGGCTTAGCTCTTTATTTCCTGTGCCACAGAACTACTGCAAACATCATCACCACCTGGAAAACCCTACCCTGGTGCATATTAAATAAACTAAAAGAAAGAAAAGTTATACTGACTTCAATTAGAGTCAGGTCAAATCACAGCATTTCACCTTGGGCTCCATCGAGCTCATTCAAGGCAAAATCAGGTCTTGAGCCAGGCACACTCTGACAGACAAAATCAGGGGACCTGGAAATAAGGTGGTTGCTGGGACAATGGTGTAAACATTAGATCAGGTATAATTACAGATGT